CAGCGCCATTTTCAGGCCAGATACTCTGTGATGAGCGGAAGCTTTTTTTCGGGGAAGAAGGTCGTGGATATACGTGCCTATGCGGAATTGAACTTAGGATCTGCTTATGGAGAGTTGCCGATGATGTGTACCATTCAGCCTGAATGCCGCCACAACCGTGTGGGTGACTTCGGATATGTCCACCGCCTTTGATTTGCAATGCATCGTCATCGAAGGGCCTAGCGGCATAGCACATGAAACGACAAAAGAGCGAGTGCATCTTCCCGCACAAGACGGCAAGGTGCGTTCATTTTTTGCACCCTTGCAGACTGAGCAATCTGCATTACGGACCGAGTTGCTGCCTTTGATCTGTTCTGGGAAAATGTATTTTTTATCTGTTTTGGGAAGATTTTAGAGGCCTACCGTAGTCTATCTGCAGTGTTCTTTTCTGAGTTTGTGCGAGCTGCTGCTGACATACTACCTAGCGTACCTGTATTTTTTCCCGTACTAGTTTTAAGGCCTCCCTTCAGTACTCACCCTTCCACTGCCCATGGGTGTACACTACCGGCCTCGCTGCCTCGCTGCGCTACTCAACCCGCCAAGGTTTTGGTGAGTGCCGCATGGCCACTCTCCTCCACCATGGTCTCCCCCCCCCTCCTTCGCTCTCTCCCTGGAGTCAGCCAAATCAACGCTTTGCCACCATAGACCGCTATGCTATCCTGATTCTCCTCTCGGATCTCGAAGTTGCTGCAGCCGAACACCACATCATATCACTGCTCGCATAGGTCTTCTCTGCGTGTGTTGGACACATCAAACACGCACACACATAAAACGATAGAGACACCCAATCCACTACCCTTCCCACTAAACCACAAGCGAAAAATCTCCCCTTTGGCAAAACCATCGTATTTGGTGGTCCCCAAACGGGGGCAAAAAGTGTGCGAGGCCCCAACTTTCACGTCACTTTTGCGCCTTGTGCGCCGGTCCTATTACAATTCGTGTAGTTTAGTTGTGGCAACATGCGCCAGGTGTCAGCCGTCTACAGTGATGGAATCCTAGGGTGGCAGTGTTAGGGCCAGATTCCACTTGGCCAAGTTCTTCATTTCTGGGTCTTGATTGAGGACTCGGGTAGGTGGGATCTGGCCCTTATGCCCTCCTCGTTCCTTCAGAGGCAGATTCAGGAAATTGCGTTCGATTTTCGGACCATTTCTCGATTTATGCGTGTCATCCTTGAAAGCGCAGGGGCCATGCTAAGCTTCTCTGTATCGTTCCAATTTCAACGGATGTCCCGAAGGACATTGCGTTCGATTTTCATTGGCTGCCACGGAGATTGGAAGCTGGCAGGAGATAGAAGGCGTAGACTCTTTTCTCCTATTGGACAAATTTTTTATTTTATTTTTTGTTTTTATTTTTTTTTAATATCGTGTGGTCCGATGGACGACGGATCAGATATTAAACTGATCAGAACAGATACTACACTTGATCTTAGCCAAAAGGCCGAGAAAGGTATAGGACAAATTTTATGGCAGCAGGGGTACCGCCGTACTTAACGCAGGGAAATCGGAAGGGATAATTGGTAGAAAGAGCCCACCCCAAAACCTTTTCGGTTTTGGCCGGCCGTTTGGTACTACCCGCCCAAACAATTTTCCCCTGGGTGAAAGGCGCCTTCGCGCCGTGGCCACATCTCCCTGGGCCTGTTTTTACAGGTTCAAGAATTTGGCGTTGTTTTGGCGTTGCATGAACGGGTAGGGTCACGGTCACTGCCACTTACCCTGGACAAGACACTAGACCCGTGGGTTTTGCTGACGCCTCCTCTGCGTCGGAACAGCTTTGGGGACCGGGTTCCTCATAGCAAGCTGCTGGATAACCCGGTAACTGAATTTCGGGGTCTGCGACACCCCTGGGCTCATTTGCTTCTAATAGGCCCATTGAGGCCTCCCCTCCCTCAGCAGTCCATCCAGACTGTACCCGATATACGGGTGGCCAACATCGGGCCTAATAGAACAAGGAAGGACAGCAGTAAAATTGTGCGCCCAAAGAGGGCTCGTCCAAAAGATGACTGGGGCCTGCTATTTCTAGCCGAAGCTCCCCGTTAGGACCTGTGCTTTTGTCCTTTGCTTGCTCTTCCTGCGGCGCCGCTCCGAACCTGCAATGCATCGTTGGATTATCTTCATCAACGGTTCGCGACTCACGGCACAAAAATCCTGGCCCGCCCGCCGTGCCCTCAGTGCCTGGGGGTACCCCCAGGACTTCTCCATTTTCTGTGAAGATATTTCAGTGTTTCTTCTCAATTTCATTGGTCAGCCTTCTCTGAACTCAATGCAACCTGTTGTCAGAAAGTCTATTTTTAATGTGATTGTCATTTTGTCAGAATTGTCTTTTTTCCCCTTGCAGTACATGATGCCTTGCCTCTGAAATATGACCCCTCACTTCTAACCCTCAGACCTCTGACTCGAAAACAGGAGGGAGATCACACTACCAATGTATGTGGAGTAGTGGATCGGTTGTGTGACTCCGAAGCACCGCGGATGGGGATGGCAATCAGCTGTGTGTTTTTTTTTGTATTTATGCGTGTCATCCTTGCGCAGGGGCCATGCTAATCTTCTCTGTATCGTTCCAATTTTAACGGATGTCCCGAAGGACTTTTTTTTTCGTATTTAAGGGGATGGGTATATATGTATTTCCGTCGCGCCCTATTGGTCGGTCTTCCTTTTTTTTTTGTTTTGAAGGTCCTAGAGGGGTCCCCGATGTGAGTGAAACTCATGACGTTTTTTTTCGTTCTGATTTTCACGCACCTTCCACTTACCTTTTGGAGGGCGCCCTCGCAGGAAAGAAAGGCAAACAGCTGAAAGTTTCGGCCTTTGCCATTATGACGGGATGTCAGTCGTGTCAGACTGTGTGTGAATGCGNCGGGCGCCCTCGCAGGAAAGAAAGGCAAACAGCTGAAAGTTTCGGCCTTTGCCATTATGACGGGATGTCAGTCGTGTCAGACTGTGTGTGAATGCTGTCTGCGGTCGAAGCAGTGGTGCTTCTTCGTGGGCGCCCGAAGCAGTGGTGCTTCTTCGTCGGCTCGGGCGCCCGTCACTCGACGCCCTTGGTTACCACATGCATAAGGAAAAACAAGAAAAGTGGACATGCATGTGGTCGGAATAACGAGCAAATTCGAAGAGAGTACCCAATTTCTCAGAGGTGCAAAGCCCGTATTAGGGCCTCGCTGCACTACTCTCTACATGCACAAAAGACAAAAATATTGGGGGTGTATCTTTCCATATTCTAGCAGAAGATTCACTCTCGTTTTGCACATTTCGAGAGTAGTGCAGCGAGGTCCCTTAGTTGCAGCTGTGAAGAAGGGGTGCCGACTTCCCGCCCCGACACACAGACTTCCAGCCTCGTTAGGCCAATCGGCTCAGCGGGGAATCCCCGGTGGCCCATACAGCCGTGTGCCTTGCATATACCTGTCTACGAATGTCAAACCCCGCCGTTCCCCTGTACGCATGCGTTTCTATGTGTGTGCGCTTACATCCGACACTGTCGTGGAGATAGAGAGGGACCTAGAGATATACATAGACAGAAAAACCACGGGAGATGGACGGCGGTCTCCTAGTTGTCGTTTCTTGGCCCTCCAGATAATGGAGGATGGCCGTCGTTTTCTGGAGACCATGAATGAATTGGCATCTTCGACGTTCAACGCTTGCTCTTGTCCATTGTGATGTCGCCGTTGGGGCCGGGGGTTGGAGGGGGTGGACACATCCAGTCCTCTCTTGCCACCACCAACGCTCAGCTGTGTCTACACATGGCTGACGTTTTGCCCCGCGAACCCCCGCGATGGTGGGTGATGAGGCGAGGAGCTGGCCAGTGGGGCAATATGAGCGTCGAAGATGATGCAGAGGACGTCTTCTACAGAACTCTTGTGCGAATGAAGCGTTCCACTTTTGAGCACATTTTGGCCATTGTGCAGCCATGTCTGACCCGGCAGCTCCTGCGCACTTGTTAGCATTCACCATTCATCGGTGGGCCACATGAGACAGCTATCGGCACAGTTCGTGGGGTTATCAGATGGGAACGACGAGCGGTCTGAGGTCTGTGGAAGATGTCATGGAAGCCATTATCAGGTGCTTCCCTAATGCTATATCATTCGGCACAGCCGCCGGTCGTGAGAGTTCCATGGCATTCTATCGGGCCAATGGCTTCCCTGACTGCTGGGGGTGCATTGATTGCACTCATATATATGTTGATAAGCCCGCGAATTTGTGCGGTGACACATATTGCTCAGGCAGAACAAAGCGCTTCTCAGTTGTTGCACAGCTTGTTTTCGACCACAATCTTCGTATACTCGACATGCACGTTGGTCTTCCCGGTACAGTCCATGATTCCTTAGTTCTCAAGAATTCATCGTTGTACCGACGTGGCCGTTCGGGGAACCTTTTCGTTCAGGACGTCAGACACACGGACCTCGAACTTGTAAACAACGTCCCGGGGGGTACCTCCTCGGGGATGCCGGTTATCCTTTGCTCCCTTGGCTCATCACCCCGTACGGACCGACGCATAACCGGCCGGAGTGCAGAAGGTTCAACGCTCGCCTTAAGCTGGTGCGTGTTGACAGTGAGCGTGGCAACGGTGTGTTAAAAGGCCGTTTCCAGAATTTTCATAAACCGCACCGGCCGAATATCAAGACTCTCTCGCGACAGTTTCTAGCGGTATGTATATTGCATAACATTCTAATCGATAGGGGTGAGGATGTGAACGCTGTGTTGCGAAGGTTGGGCCGTCGACGCCAAGAAGTAGCGAATGATAGGCCGGCGGGAGGTCGCGGATATCGTGGCAACGGTGCGGGTGCTGATTCCGTGGCGGGTAGAGTTCTGCGGCATGCCCTTTGTCGCCACATTTGCCAGCGTCGTTGAAATTGTTCATCGCTTGCAACGATCTCCCTCTCACGGACAACGCACTGTCATCATCCCTTCTAGCCTCATCTCCGAAGAAGCCAGTTTCAAAGGTCGTGTGAGCAGGACATGTATTGGCGCATAAAACGTGAATAGTACATCCATGTCGGACAGGGCCTGCTCATCGTCCGCCCCTTCGTCTCGGGCTAGAAGGAACAACCGACAACCGGTGCTGCGAGAACTCGTCGCACACAAGCAGGTCGTCATGGCGGACGTGGAGAAAATGAGGAGAGGGAATGGTATACCGACCCCATTTCGTCACGGCCAAGGTTGCTGCATCGCTATAGCCCACGTACGAGGCGGTATAGTGAGCAAGCTGCCAGAATGGGCAGCACAACCGCAGAAGCCCTGCGGCTGTTGGAGTTGATGTACGCGGCGGACCAGATGGCATCAGCAGCTGTCAATGAGCGACATGACACCCCTGTCACCATCCGCCCGCGATCACCAGACACGGACAGCAGCAACAATGTGGGGTTTGGCACTCCGTGTGAATGATGGACGATGTGGCGCATAGCCAACGTGCGCGTAGAATGTGTGAGATCTGTCGTGCGCTTTTTTGACATGGAAGGGGTAGACTGCGTGTATAGGCAGTGTGCGGTTACTATTGTTTTTGGGGATGATGATGAGAGAGAGAGAGAGAGAGAGAGAGAGAGAGAGAGAGAGAGAGAGAGAGAGAGAGAGAGAGAGAGAGAGAGAGAGAGAGAGATGGTCGTCGTTACCTGTCCATGTTTTTGGGGATGATGATGCTGTCAATGGAAGTTTCGGAACCATTGTGTTGTTGAACAGACAGATGTCAGTACTTATTCTTTCGATGGTGCGAACTCTTTTTAATTGTTCTTTGTTTTGTCTCCAGCACTTACACCATTGCTTTCTCACTGTCATCGGTTCCATGCCTGCCAATCTCCAAGGAGTACGCTAATGCCATGTGTTTCGTGTTCATTATTGTATGTGTGGTCTCACATTGCTTATTGTGCTCACTGTCATTATTGTATGTGTGGTCTCACATTGCTTATTGTGCTCAACTAGATGATGATGATGATGATGATGATGATGATGATGATGATGATGACGATGACGTCGATGATGATGATGATGATGATGATGATCTTTATTATTATTATTCTAATGTTGATGGGGAGGCGGTTACATGACGAGGAAAAACGGCTGCTGGAAGTTGCTGATGGACGGCTGCGGACGGAGAACAACGGCTGCTGGAAGTTGCTGATGCCACGTGAAGGAGGGGGGGGGGGATACGCTGTAAAACGGCGCTGCTGACACATCTGATCGAAGCTGGCCAAGATGTGATAAAGGGTCACGACCATCCGACCTTTTTTCTTTTCTACGCATCGTTTGTCGCTATGCTCGTCTTCATA